CACATGTGATGACTTTGCATAGAAATACCCCTACACACCCCCACACATGCAGAAATAAATACATATAAATCTGGTGAAATCTGAATAAGCTCTGTGGAACATACCAGTGTGTGTTCCCTGGTTTTGACAGTATGCCATAGTTATGCAAGATGTTACCATTGAGAAAACTTGGTAAAGGGCACATGGGACTTCTCTGTACATTTCTTTTGCAACATCTTGTGAATCTATAATTATTTCAAAATAATTTAAATAAGCTCATGGCCTTTATTATTTGTAGAAGGGACCTGTAGATGAAACTGGTTGGGTCATCAAAAATGTCTTGTCCCTGCCTATTGTCAACAAGAAAGAGGACATCGTGGGGGTAGCCACCTTTTACAACAGGAAGGATGGAAAACCTTTTGATGAGTATGATGAGCACATTACTGAGGTAAGTGCCATTATGAAATAATGGAGATAGATGAAATTCAGGAAATAGAGGATGCATAATTTGTTCTGTAATGCTGTTTTTGAAAGGCAATTAAGACACGAGTCACAAAGGGTTGTAGTCAAGATGTTGTGTCATTTTTTCCTGACTTCCGTAAACTGCACTGTTTTTTTTGCTAAACTATGAGCTTCTGGTTTAATCAAAATTCTTTCCAATACTAGGAAATTGGGGGGGGGGAATTTCTCTCTCCTTTCTCCCCACTCCCCTTCTATTTCCCCTCGTTCTTGCTATCAACCCCAGCCCTCTCTGATTTTCAGGCCATGCTTTATCCTACTGTTTTTTTTTTTTTATAATTCTTCCCCTCTAAAAAAAGTATTCATGATACGTGGAGCATTTTGAAAAGCAAGGGCTTAGTCAATTTTATTATCTGGGGCTGATTATTAGTGTGTTTTTTTTTCTTAGATTAAAACAAGGAATGGGTTGTTGATGGTGAAAGGGAGATTGATAGGAAAGCATGTAGATTGCTGTCTACAAATCAATTTTCCTTTAATTTTAGAGAATTGAATCACATTTATCCATTTCAGACTCTCACACAGTTTCTTGGATGGTCTCTTTTAAATACTGACACCTATGAGAAAATGAATAAGCTAGAAAACAGAAAGGACATAGCTCAGGAGATGCTCATGAACCACACTAAAGCTACTCCTGAAGAAATCAAGTCTATTCTGGTAAGTGAGGAACTCGGTCCTAGACGGTGTCTAACCAGCCCTTCTGGAATTCACCTAATTACCCAGAGGTCTGACAAATGACAATAAGTTTAGTCCTGGGCTAAGGAGGAGGAGGAGACAAGAAAAGGAGGGTTGGGGAGAACCTGGGTGGCCCACAGTACACAGAGCCTTACTGAATTTCCAGGCTGCTTGGCTGGAATAGCACTTTGTTAAAAATAGCTCTGTAGGAGCTGGAGTAGTGAGGTCTAGATTGAGTTTTGTTAGCAAGGGAATAAATACATCCAGGAAGGGAAACATATCAGTCAGCTCTTGCCATGTAATGAATGCTGCATAACAGCCATAACCTCTCAGTGGCATACAACAATGAGCATCTATGTGTCACTCTTGCATTTGTGGGTTGACCAAGCTTCAGCTGATCTCGTTTGGGCTGGGTTCCAAGCTGTGAGTTGCTTTGCTCTCTGTATCTCTCATCCTTCTTGCCCAGCAGCTACCTGACAGATGTTCTTATGGTGACTACCGAAGTACAAAGAGCAAGCCCATCTATGCAAGCTTGTTTCAAATCTTTACTCACATCTCATTCACTAAAATTCATGTTGGCCCAGATCAATATCATGGATGATGGGGGATCAAAAAGATACTTGCTAGGGGAGGGTATAGCCCAGTGGTAGAGTGCCTGCCTAGCAGGCACAAGGTCCTGGGTTCAATTCCCAGTACCTCTATTAAAAAAAAATTAACAAGTAAATAAGCCTAAAAATACCATCCCTCAATTTAAAAAATTAAAAAAATATATTTGCTAATAGTGTTCTAATTACCACCCAATTAAGAGGAAATACCACACCCCATTATCTCTGTTCCTTCTATTTCCCTTCCTTGGGTTTTTTTTCTTTTTTCTTTTTGATGGTTTTTGGTTTTGCTGGGTGATTTGAGAAGAGAAATTTGATTTGTGAGTTTGAGATGTTGAAGATGAGAATGTCTGGGGAGAATGAAGGGAAGTTGCTATAAACTAACAGAGAAGCAGATGTAAGCCACTCATTTTTCTCCCCTACCTACATGCAAACAACTCATGTCTTCTTTTTTTTTTTAAGACAGCTACTGTTACATTTTGGGAGAAAAGAGAAGTTACTTGTATTATTTTTGAGAGAAAATTCTACATAATCAAGTGCTATAGGTCTTTGTATCCAGAATGCATCTTTGTCATGGGCCTCATCATAGTGTAGTTTATTTTAACTGACTTTAAGAGCAGAGAGAAATCGACTTCGTAGGAAATTCACACCTCCATTTCTCTTACATTTTAGAAATTTAAAGAAAAGTTAAATATAGATGCAATTGAAGACTGTGAAGAGAAACAACTTGTCACAATTTTGGTAAGTGTTTTACTTCTATCCTTAATGCTTTTTAAATAAAACAGATTGGGAACTGCATTCTCATTTTTCAAGTAAGTGCTGAGTTTCCTCTTTGGCACCTTTCAAAGCTAAGAAGAAAAGAGATTTCTTCTGAAGAGTGATTTTCTGGTTCCCTTCTTTCTTCCTCTTTGTCCCCTAAAGTCCGATACACAGAGGTAATTTAGAATTACCAAACGACTGCATAAGGGAATTCAGGCACACACTCTAGGAGAACATGGCCTGGTTTATTTTAATGGCTTTGTATTCCACCACGGCCTCCCCAGAAGACATGACAGAATTATAGTAGAACGTAGACCCTTCTGGAGCCTGGAAGAATTCAGTTCTTCCCTATTGTTGCCGTAAGGCCATCCTTGTTATTTCTAGTTGAAATAACTTCTCTTTCAGTCGTTAATCCTGTTTTGTTGTGTCTGCTTCTAAACCGATTCAAACCTGTTTTCTACAGTCTGCTGTTAAACCTATCCAGTAAGTTTTTAATTTCAGAGATTATCTTTTTCAGTTTTGGAATGCCTATTCTTTTTTCAAAGATTCTAATTCTGTGCTGAAACTTTTCATTGTTTTATCTACTTTATCTCTCTTTTTGTCTATTTTCTTGAATTTGTTGATTCGTTGTGATTTTAAATTCTCCATCTCAATACCTGACTCACCTATAGGTCTGGTTCTCCTGTCTATTTTTTTTTGCACTATATTTCTATTTTATTGAAGTATGGTTGATTTACAGTGCTGTGTTAGTTTCTGGTGTAAAACATAGTGATTCAGTCATATATATATACATTTTTTCATAATAGATTATTACAAGATATTGAATATAGATCCCCATGCTATACCATAGGACCTTGTTGTTCATCTATTTTATGTATAGTAGTTTGTATCTACTACTCTCAAACTCCTAATTTACTCCTCTTTCCCTTTGGTAACCATAAGTTTGTTTTCTATGTCTACAAGTCTTCTCTGATTTATAAATAAGTTTATTGGTCTCATTTTTTTAAGATTCCACATATAAGTGATATGGAGTGATATTTGTCTTTCTCTGACTTAATTTAGTATGATAATGTCTAGGTCCATCCAGGTTACTGCAAATGGCATTATTTCATTCTTTTTTATGGCTGAGTAGTATTCCAGTGTGTGTGTGTATACATACCATACATGTACACACACATACACACACACCACAACTTCTGTATCCAGTCATCTGTCAAAGGACATTTAGGTGCTTCCATGTCAAATCTATCATCTCTTTTTACTCTTGAGTTTCAGTCATTTGATCATTTTAAAGCATGCATCATCCATTTTTCAACTGAAACCAGAAATTGATAAAAACTTGTAGGGGCTCTAGGTGATCTTTCTATTAAGAGGGTCACATTTTCTTCTAATAGGTGAATAGAGTTGGTTTTAGATTCTGTTAGGAATTGTCAGTTTCCATGTTGCCTTTACTACTAGGGTAGAGCCCTTACCAAGAAATATCCAGAAGAGTGTGGCCCTTCCGGGATCTCAGCTGAAAGGCTGGGATATTTACCATGGCCCCTGGACCTTGAATTTCAGAGGTTTTAATACAATCTGATTACAGTGGGAATAATACCACATTTATTTTCCTTATTAACCACCTCATCCTACTGTTTTACTCTGCTCCTTTCTAATCCGTTATATAAATGTTCTTTCTAAACTAAGACATACTGAGTATCTCACCTTCCCCATCCCATCTGTCATGGGCTCTGCCCTCTCGTCCTGGCCCTTGACTCTTCTCCCACAGAGCCAGGGACCTTGGACCCTTATCTGAGGGCCCAGCTCCCAGCCTGCAGAGTTTCATGTCACCTGGGGCTCTTCTACCATCTCTCACTCTTCTTGGCTCCACCCTGAGCACGTTCCCCTCACACCTGGCCCAGAAGACGACCCTTCCATCTCCTCATTTGCTCCCGGCAACACTCATCTTCTGGTAAAACAAAACTTTAATTGGCATCCATGATAGTTTGGACATTTTCTAGTTCTCTATTTAGAGGAGGAAGAGCCTTATATTGGAGAAGCAATAAGATGGGCCAAGAACCAGTAGACTAACAAAAACAAAACAAAATGAAAAAACAACAGCCTGTTTTGAATGTAAAATATGCCCTAGGCTTGTCTCAAATCCTTGCTGCATAAGGCTTAAGAACCCAAGAAACAAACAAGCATATATTTCAGATTCCACATTTGATCAGAACAGTAGGGCAGAGGCGAGCTCCAGCAGGGAGGCTCTGTGGCCTGGGGTACCCCACCCCACAGCCCATAACTCTCCTCTTAGTCTGATTTGTAAACGGAGTGCTTATTTTCTGTCTCTCCCTGTGAGAACGTGTGTTTCAGGGCAGCGACATGTCTGCTTCCTTTGTTGCTTTGTCCATAATGCCCAACACAGATAGAAACCGATAAATGTTTGTGGAATGAGAAATACTAAACGAACAAATGAAAAAGGAAAGCCTTCATGGGTAAGGAATCTGAAAGGGCCTGGAGGGAGAGAAAGTGACGAGAAAGAGCAGTGGAGGACATGGAAGATTCTGTGAGAATTGGAGAAAGGAGTTCTGAGGAGTGTTACTAGGGGCCCTGAGTTGAATCCTCTCTACTTGTCTTTGATGCAGACAAATAAAATTGCTACTGCTTTTTCATTAACATGACAAAGACAAAAATGTTACTGTTATTCCCATTTCCCAGATGAGAGTATTGAGTCTTGTTCAGCCTAGGAGATGCAGCTAATCCCCAATCCAGAACTGAACGCTAGTCTCCTGGCTCCATTGTGCTGCCAGAAAAAGATCTCTGCCTAAAGTGGCCAGTCTAAGAGTGACCTTGGTGAGAAGGGGGCACAGGAGGACCAAGGAGCCCCCTGGAGAGAAGGGCAAGGGTGTGAGGGGTCAGCCCAGACTCTAGGGTTTGGAAACCAGAAACCATAATTGTACCGAAGGAGTCATGTACCATTTGGTGTGGAAATTTGTACAAATAGAGCATGAATTATCCCCTGGGAAACCTTGAGCTTACTGAGGCATGTGACCTTAGCACAGTATTAAGAATTTACGACAGACTCAGTAAATAAATATCCACTGAACTGAATTGCTCCTGCACGTTCATCTGGTAGACTCACATAGCTCTTCCTACTTCTTTCCTCCCTGCCTGCCTCCAAATCAGCTGAATATACACCCCTCCAGAACCTCTCCTACTTTACTTCCCCCAGCCTGCCTGCAACTTCTCCCACAGCCCTGGCACTCGAAGCTGTGCTCTGTGAATATTCTAAGCTCTCACCTTTCACTGGTTTGTATTTTATAAACATTTCAATAGATTAAGTTCCTTAAGAACAAGGTCCATATTTTTACTTCCCAGGCCATGTCAATACTCTGCCTAATTTACTGTTTTCTCACCTAGTCCTAAATCCTAACAAGGGGCGGGTTAAATGTGACATCTGCTAGTGTACCAGGGCACTGCGGGGGCATCATGCATGCTTGCATTCATTCATTCATTGAAGAAGCATTCACCCAGCATCTCCATGGGTCAGGCACCACAGGTTCTGAGATACAACAGCAAGTAAAACAGACCCGACCCCATCGGTGTGGAGCCCACAGACTAGTAGGAAAGTGTCACTAAACAGGTAAAGAAAACACAATAGAATTGAATTAAGCTGTCAGCTACTGCGCACTGAATATTTCTGGAATAGGGAAATAAGGGAAGTTGAGTATTGAAAATGGATTAGGCTGCTGCCACTAGACATTTTATTTTGCATCAGAGAAGGCAAATAGCCGCTGGGGGCCGATTTGGAATTGAATGCCATCACAAGTTTCTTAATATAGCCGAGCCTCAGTTTCACCATCTGGAAACTGGGGATAATTGTGCAGGTTTGTTGTGAGGATTATATGCATAACCCAGTACTGGGCATGGAGAGGCTCCGTGAATTGCATTTGATATCCTTTTATTGTAATTTTGTTTTATGCCCAGTGTTGAATGTGTGAGACTAAAGGGAGAAAAATGAATGTAATCTGGAATACTTCACGCTTGTTTCAACAGAAGGAGGATCTGCCAGACCCTCGGGCAGCAGACCTGTATGAATTCCGCTTCAGTGACTTCCCCATCACAGAGCATGGCCTGATTCAGTGCGGACTGCGGCTGTTTTTTGAAATAAATGTGGTGGAGAAATTCAAAGTACCCGTAGAGGTCAGGGGGGTATCTAATTTAAAAGACTGTGGGATTCTGTTGCTGCCCTCCACTAAAACTTCCTGTGGTTCAAAAGATTCACTTCAGTTTGGATTTTAAAATATGATTAACTTCATCCATATATGGGCTTCAACCCTGTAAACAAGACCCAACCTATCTTTTCAGATAAGCTTCTCACAGACCTTCTAACCTTTAGAATTCTTTTCCAAAGTCTGAGAGGTGGTGTCTTCTTTCGGTGGCAGGTCCTTACCAGATGGATGTACACGGTGAGAAAGGGGTACCGTTCCGTCACTTACCACAACTGGCGACACGGGTTCAATGTGGGGCAGACCATGTTCACATTGCTGATGGTAGGTACCAGCGCCCTGAGTCGGTGGAAACCCGCATGTCTTCCTCTTGAGTGTGGTGGGGAATAGGCCCAGTCCATTCTTTTATTTTTTAATTTTGAATAGTTAAAAAAATTTTATTATTATTTATTATTTTTTGGGTGGGTGGGGTAATTAGGTTTGTTTATTTTATTCTTAGAGGAGATGCTGGGGACTGAACCCAGGACCACATGCATGCTAATCATGGACTCTATCACTGAGCTATGCCCTCCCCCCTCAGTCCATTCTTTTACATCAGTAATTTTGGAATTCATGGACACAATCCCATAAACCCCCAGATTCCCTGGAGTTGATCCCAAGGAATGTGGGTGGATTATCACTCTGACGTTCATGGACTTATACCCTTAAAGTTCAGTTATCTGCTGGCTTTGGAACTTCCCAGAATGAGCTACAGTCCTCAAGAACTAAAGTCAGCTTGCTCTAAAAACACAGCAGATCCCCTCTGGCAGGCAGGCCTCACTGCACATGCTGTGGAGGTGTATTCATCCAAGTAAATATATACATACATATATAGATATGTGTGTGTGTGTATATATATATATATATATTTTTTTTTTCAGACAGGAAGACTAAAGAAATACTACACGGATCTTGAAGCCTTTGCCATGCTTGCTGCTGCCTTCTGCCACGACATTGACCACAGAGGCACCAATAATTTGTATCAGATGAAGTAAGTGAACACATGGGGCCATGTGGACATGTCCTGGTGCCTCTGCCTTATTTGTAAATGCCTTCACTCCTTTATTCAACTTTGTTTCAGCACTGATTTTCAACTTACACCTGTACACACCTGGGTGACACTCCCCCGGCTCAAGCTGGAGAACGTTTCTTCCTGGGCTCTCTACCACTCACATCCCTGGTCCTTGTGCTTCTGTCAGCTGACCTGGCATCTTCGCATCATTGTTGTCTTTCTCTCTTGCCCGAGAAGGAAAGTGCAGTTATAAGGGTGCAGGTTCTCAGCGCCCGACTCTAGTTACCTGAGCACAGTGTATGTGGTTCTGGCAGCTCCAATAAGCTGCTGGGATCAAATGTGTCTTTTTGCACGATGACTTTTTTTGGTGGTGGGAGGGGAGGTAATTAGGCTTCTTTATTTAATGGAGGTACTGGGGATTGAACCCGGGGTCTTGTACATGCTAGGCAAGCACTCTACCACTGAGCTATATCCTCCCCCAAAGATGATTCTTAATGAACATGTGTACTCTTACTGTGCTGGAGAAATTGCTCAGGAGTCTGCAAAGATACGGAGACATTACATTGGCAAAAGCAGTCAACGAAAGGCTGACTCTGACTGAATCATTCTCACGCTAATGGTACTGGTCAGGCTCCTGTGCCGTGTAATCTGGCTTGACCTTGTGCCCTGGTCTGCTTACTCATCTCCAAAATGTCTGACCCCCCGTGGTTCTGGTTTCCACCCTTATCTCCCAGCTTTAGACTCTGCCCTCTGGCAACGCCCTAACAACCTTGCCATTTTCAAATTTTTTGTTATTCCTTCAAGTACTTGTCTTCTCTTGGTTTGCTGTACTTTTCTAGCCAGTCTTTTATAGGTTTATAGATTTCTTGTTCTCTTTCACCCCTTTTTCTTGTTTAGTTTTTCAATTCTCTCATCTTTTAATTTCCTTTGCCCCCCACCTTGTCCCTGAAGAAATGCAATTATCAGGGAAAAAAATCAGAGGAATTTTAGGATTTAGCTCATCTGCCCCACCCCGCCGTGTTCCCTCCTGTGTCCTCTAGGCAGCATCTGCACTGGATTCTCCGCAGTGGTTCACAAGGCAGACCATTCTATTTGTATTTATTAAAAAAATTTTAAATAACATTTTTTAATATTTCAAAATTGGTGCAACACTGTACTTATATTAAAAATATTGTGCTGTACACATGGAAGATTTTGTTAAGAGGGTAGATCTCACGCTGTGTTCTTACCGCAATAAAATATTTTTTAAAGCAAAAAAAATTGCCGTTTAAGTACATACTCTATCAGCCAATGGATAAGTTATTTTTTCATTTTTTGTCACCTGAAAATAAAATAGTCATGACTTCCATCAATGTTCATTCAAGTTATTGATAAAATTGTGCATCAGGACAAAAGCCATGGCAGAGTTCTGGGGCCAGGGACTAGAAACCTACCCCTGGGGCTGAAGACAGGCGATTCAGCCACACCTGTTGGGCTCTGCTGTCCAGTATTTGAATATTGAGTGACCATACTCAGTGCTCCAACTTGCACAGAATGTTTCTTGAAGCTGCTGCTCCGTTGCCTCGCTGAAATCCAGAGGCATGCTGTCCCTGGCCTTCCTCTCTCACAAGCCTTATCATAAAAGGGTTCATAGCAGCAGTTCAGCATCATCTTCTCTTTCTGAACCTTCTCTGGAATGTCCTAGTGACTATTCTGTAAGTGCTTACAAATTCTGAAGCAGTTAAACTGTTGCAGGTTAACATCCGTCTCCCTGTTCTGCATCTATTGATAGTACCGTTTTCTACTTCTTTGGTTTTAGGGTGGATTTTACTTGTAGCTGATCTCCAGTCATCTTTACCACCTCAAAATTCCCCTGGGAATGCTGACAAGGGTCCCCCACCCCCATCCTCAAATTCCTTCAGGGAGCTGGGGTGCTACTCGCTGGGTTAACAGATGTGTGTGTGCATGTCTGTGCATAAAATAATCTTTTTTTTTTTTAACAGAACCATTTGTGAGACAGTTGCAGGCCTCATGACATGTCACCCCAAAGTATTTCAGCGTGTATTTCCTAAGGATAAGGGGGACATTTGCTTATATAAACACAATATGATGATCACCCTCAAGAGACTTAGTATTGGTACAATACTATTATCCAATATGGAATGTTTATTCCAATTTTTCCAATTTTCTCAATAATGCCCTGTGTAGCTATCCTTTTTTCTCTTTGATTTGGGATCTAATCAAGGATCACACAGTGCACTTTGTTGTCAAGTGTCTTTACTCCCCTTCAAGCTGGATTGTTCCTCAGCTTTTTGTTATCTTTCAGGATGTTGACGTTTCTGAAGAGGCTAGATGAGTTGTTTTGCATCACATCCCTCAATGTGGATTTGTTTAGTTTTCTGATGACGATTCAGGGTACAGGTTTTTGGCAGGAATTCTATGTAGATGGTGTGTCCTTTTCAATGCGTTGCATCAGGAGGCTCATGTTATGACTTTGTTCCATTAGCTACGAGGTTAAGTTAAACTGTTTATGGACAATATCCAGCAGATGTCTTTATGTAAAGGTACATTTCCTCCTTTATATTAATACATCATCTGTGAGGTGTCATTTTGAGGCTGGTTGAATATCCAGCTCCCCAGCAGCCTTTCTTGACTGATGTTTTTCAACCTAAAGGAATTAAAGATACAACTCATTTCTGACTGGAATTGAGCTTTATTCATGTTTTAAAAATCTCCAGTGCTGACACATGTTAATAATTAAATTATGATCAATTATAATACTGATCACAGTCTGATTGTTCTCAAACTTGAGTATTTGGTTTACCAGATTGTTAGTGACCTGTGAATGACTCTTCTCCTTAAAGCTGTGTTCTTTCTGAAATTAAATGAAACTTCTCTGCCAAGGCTGCTACCCATATTTCTGATTTTTCTCACTTGCTTGAAATTATAAGAAAGTCTTCAAATTATCTATGTAGACCTTTAACGTCAGCTTCTCTCTACCTTTTCACCTTTTTATTTTCAATGTCACTTCCCCTTCCTCAATCAGGAAGAACTACAGAAAGACAGGTTACTGAAGACCCCACTTACATAAAGCTGTGACCTCACCATTAACAACAGGGAAATTTAAATTGATGTCACTGTCTTGGAGGAGGAAAGAAATGTTAACTCTATAATCATTTTCATTTTGGCTTCTGATAATTCTTAAATACTTTCTATGCAAACAATCTATGGGCTTCAACAAGTTTGCTCCATGTTCTATGAGTCATAGTCACCACCATAAGCTCCAGGGAACTAAAAGATTTTAGGAGCATAGGATGAACCAAACTTCCTAGTTTAAACAAGTCGATCACTTTATGCATACAACAAATTAGGGTGTTTTTTTAAAAGCATATTCTCATATTCTAAATCTAAAAATTCTTTTCCAATATGTTACTTTTGACTGTTTCACAGGCATTAGGGGAGAGGGGAAAAAAGGAAAAAAAATCCTCAGATTGTAAAGATTCTGTATCGTGTGACCTAAGGTGTACTCTTTAAATAGCTAAAATGCTGGCTTGTCCTTGCCCTAGGTCCACATCTCCACTAGCAAGGCTTCATGGATCTTCCATCTTGGAGAGGCACCACCTGGAGTACAGTAAGACTCTGCTACAGGATGAGGTATGTGAGTCTCTCTCCAGGGCAGCTCACAAGCTCTGGATCAAACCACTAACTCACAGAGAATGCTAAGAAAGAGGATGGCCTTGAGTGATGGCGGTCGACAGTGTAAACTCTTATTGAAGTCAACTATAGAAATTGCTGTGTTGCAACAGTTTTTGAACAACCAAGTTGGAAGTACCTGAGAGAGAGAAGAAAAGAGCCATGGAAAGTCTCAGAATCTCTGTGGGTCTGTGGAGAAAGAAAGTTTATGATGCGTGTGAGAGGGCTCTGTGCACCCTAGGGTATGTATAAAGGTAAAGAGAAAAGGAGGTTACACAGCCAGAGATTTTCTTATCAGTAGGGCACGCACTGTAAGGCAGTGCCCATATATGAGAAAGTCAAGCTTTGGTAGTTGGAGGTAGGCGTGAAATCAGGATGTAAGACAGATGGGACATCTGCCATTTGAGAGGCGCCAAGTGATGCTCCTGGGAGCTCAAGAGGGAGATGTCCCCTTGAGTGGGCGGGGCACAGGGGAGAAGGGGGCACGACCAGGAAGCTTTTCACAAGAAGTGGCTAATCTTGGTTTTGTTTTTTGTTTTTGTTTTTTAGTTGAAGTATAGTCAGTTTACAGTGTTGTCAGTTTCTGGTGTACAGCATAATGTTTCAGTCATACATACACATACATATATTCCTCTTCATATTCTTAAGCTTGGTCTTAAATTCACTTTGATTTGTACAATATCATGTATGACTCACATCCCACAGAAGGCGGTCTTTCTTCCTTTTACTGATTTTATTTAAGGGGTATATAGGCTTGTAGGAAGAGTTGTGAATATAGTTATACCTTTAAAAAAAATCTCTTGAGAAAATTCTAACTCAAAAACGATTCAAGTGAGTCATTGTTAGATGGAGGAGAACACTATGTTGTCACAGCGGAGAACCTGTCTGGAATCACACAAGCTCATTAGGATAAATAAGCCCTCTGGAGAGACCTTTTTTCAGTTTCGATAATAATCTTTTATTATAAGGCTCAGGGGAGGGAATACACAGAAATATGTCTAAGTTTAGAGATTATAGTACATTCTTCCAGGTAATGAAAAGCCAAGTGGGAAAACTTGTAAGACAGAGCGAGCAGGCAGAAAGTGGAACCAAAAAAAACCAATCAAAAGCCCTGACTTGAGTGTTTTTAATAGCCGGTGATTGATGCGGTGTCCAGACAGGGCAACACAGAGCAGCTGGGTCAGAATCATCCATTTCTTGGGGCAGAGGGTGGAGAGGGGTAGCAGACTGTTTTAAAAAATCAAAAAACAAACACATCCTGGGTTTCATTCTTTAGCTCCCTGGGGTTTGGGTCCTGGAAACTGCATCTTTAATAAGATTTTTTCCTAATTCTCATGTACAGTGGGATTTATACTATAAAAATGATGATAATATCTGTTCTATGAGAATTACAACGAGTAGAACTGAAAGTAATTCGGGAAGATACAAGTAAATTGTTATCACTCAATTTGTTATGAGTCTTTGTTTTACTGGTTGGGAGAGTCCTTTATTTTGGAGTATGAATTTTCTATGCATTTCCACTGATCACATAGACTACAGGCAAGTAGTATCAAAACATAATTCATGGTTTAGTTTTATATTTACCTACTGAAGCAGAGTAAGTTTTAAAAACTAGAGCCAAATGTTTAAATGCTTAAATTTGAAAGGCTCCTAGTAGAATATATATTTTTCCTTTCTGGAATTTGAGAGTTTATAATAGAGTTGTTGTTTCCCATCTTAATTTTTAAAAATGCTGTTTACTTTGCAGCCTGAGCTGGTTTTGATGGCTATGTAAAGGCTTATTCTTTCTAAAAAGGAATACAGCATCTTAGTAATCCATGCCACCTCGGTGAGGACCTGTCTACAGTGCTATTTGACCTGCTAATTGCTTACTTTTAAGGGTTGTAAGTAGAGTCACTAGGCAATGAAGACAATCACAGGGCATTTTATGAGCAGGCACATTGAACGCTGGAAAAAGATGAAATTTTAACCATCAGATGTTCTTTTCACATTTTGGGGAGACAGTGCAGTTATTTATTTGTTTAATAAAAATATTTAGACTTAAAAACTTAAATTTTTTTAAAAATAAGGGAAATCTTTAGGGTTTAAGTAGCAATTTTCTTTTTGTGGGCATTACTCATTTTGTATATTAACAGGCTTTGAGCTAAGATATCTTTATGTCCCAGTAGAGTTGGATTCCCTACTTTGATGATTAGAACCATCTATATTTGAAACTAGTCAGAAATCTGCCCTTTAACCTAATGAATAGGTGGAAAAGCATTGTTGGCCAAATTTTTCAGGGTATAAACTTTAATACTATAATGTGCTGTAAAAATGATAAAATTGCTCAGATCAATAACAGAATGCATTTATTATTCAAAATACTTCTTTGTGAAGTCTATGATAATTTTATTTATGCTTTTTTGTACAAACCCCATTTTTTAAAAAATTGAAGCACAGTCAGTTACAGTGTGTCCATCTCTGGTATACAGCACATTGTCCCAGTCTTGCATATACAAACATAGTCACCATGTTAATACAAAGAAGGAATGAAGAAGAAATAAATATCTGATGTGCGGTCACCAGCGAGCCACAAACCTATCGGCAGTCTTCTCTGATGGGTGTTGCACGACCACGTTGGAGACTAGGGCTGCTGGCGCTGCCTCTGGCCTTGCCTGACCTGAGAGCCCTTGTCAGAATGCATTCGAGTCACTTCTACCTATTTTGGTGTGCTACACCGAATGTATACTTTTATTGCCATTTTAATGGCAAAGGGAGAACAGAGATGGCCTGTTAATGGCAGAGGGAGAGCAAAACTAGACTCTGAGCAGGTGAAGCCAGCTGAGCCAGTGGGGCCCCAGCAGGAGCGGGGCTGGGATGAGGCCTCCTCTCTTGTTCTGAGCACCTGTCTGTACATGGCATTTCCAGTACAAAGCTTAGGAGAACAAATAGGATGTTAACATGCTTATCTATATTTTAAATTGATGACAGTAGTGGTTGTAGAAATTACACATGCCCACTATAAGAATTCAAGCAATAGGAAATATTCCAAAGATACATATAAAAAAAATCACTCCAAATCCTACCGCTCAGAAATAGACATTTCATTAACATTTGATGACCTTCACTGCAACCGCCCTGTGAATATATACAGGCAGGGTGGAGAGAAACAATTTTATAAAAATGAGATCTTACTCTCCAAGTTATCATTTTTTGTCAATTATTTTTTAAATTAAGTTTATTGAAGTATAATGTGGGTACAATAAACTGCATCCCTTTAATGTATAATTCCTAAAAATTCTGTGAATAATTCATAAAAATTCTATGAATTCTATTCATACAGCTGGGAAACCACCACACTCAAGATACAGAACACTTCTGTCTTCCCAAATGATTCCTTGTGCCCCTGGCAGTCTATATGCCTCTCTCCCCTCCTAGCTTTAAGCTGCCACTGAAATGTTTTTAGCTGCTATAAATTAGTTTGATTCTTCTAGATTTTATATAAATGCAGTCATGCAATAGTTACTCTCTAGTGCCAGCTTCTTTCATGCAGAATAATAATTTTGTGACTTCTTGCTATTGAGTGAATCAGCAGTGATTCATTCCTTCTTGTTGCTGAGTGGTAATCTATTTATCTGAAGTAAAAATATTTAATTTTGCTCAAATTTAACAGAAGAAAGTTTTTTAATAGAAGGAATTGCAGAACTTCAGAGAATTGTGTCTTTACCCAAGAGATGTTAGTTCTTAAATAGAACTCTAAAATCAACAGATGGCTATGGGAAGTTATGAAAAACTACATTTTCCATAAGTATTTAGATGTTTGATTTTAGACTATGTGTTAACTTTACAGCATCTTTGAATTCCCTGTGTGAAACATGACACAGTTAGAATACTTACACTGCTTCCCACATCTCCACCTCTGTTTTGTAAGGTATTTACTATCATTAGTTCTTCTTTACTGTTACCAGTATTCATAAAATTCACATTTTGCTGTATAATTTACACCATTTTTTTAAAACCGTAACACCTGTTGCACGACTAATTGTGGAAATTCCTGAGATGAACTGGGTACCGCAGCAGCAGCTCTCTTGGGTCTAGGTTTTGTTCCTCCACAGAATCCACGCCTGAATCTTCAGTGTACAGTCTGCAGGAGCCGCCTTCGGCCGCGGCTGTCCAGTTACACTTTCTCTTCTGCTTGGCAGGGTGGCCGCATTTGCCACAGGCCGGCTTCTGAAGAGGGGAGGCCTCAGAGCCTCAGTGACTGTCTCACTGCAATAATTCCCGAAAGACAATGTTCCGTTGTCGTCTCTTCTGTGGCCGAGACCAAACAGGCACAGTTGGTTGTTCTTAATTCTGCTTTTAAACGGGCCTGATACTTAACCTCAGTCCCTTCACCATGCTTGTCCATTCCCGTGTATGTTATTTTGACTCGTACCTTGATTAGCTAGATTTGTGTCATCTGGTAATTTTCCCCAGAGAGTCTAAGTACATGCCCAAGAAGATGTGTTTGTTACATTTATTTTTGAAGGTCAGTTTGGCAGGATATAACGGTCTGGGTCACACTTCCTTTTTCTCCTGTGTCTTCTGGCATTAAACATTGTCCTGAGAGGTATAAATGGCCAATCTGACTTTCTCCCCTGCATGTGACTTGATTTTTCTGCCTAGACACTTATGATCTTTAATTCTTCATATTTTAGTGCCTTTGTCTGAATGTCTAGGTGGTGACCATTCTGCATCTATTTTTTCCTTGCTATCAGTTATACTTATGATCCATACAACTTTTATTTTTTAATTTTGGGGAAGTTTCTTTTTTCATTATATCTTTGAGTATTTTTCTAATATATTGGGAATACCAGTGATGATATATTGAGTCTTCTTGCCATTTATTGCTATTATGTTCTTTATATATTTATTTTTTTTAATTTTGTTTTAATTTTCCTCAAGACTGTGGACTTTGCCCTTGTTGTATGTCAGTTGCTTAT